CTGTTCCCGACCATTGATGACCGTTCCTCTCTCTCACGGGCTGAGGAGGAAGGAGACACTTTCTGAGTGGGCGGCTTCTTTTTACTGGTTAAAAAACAAATAAAATAAATCAGTGTTGAGTAAATGTGTCAATTACGTGAGAGTTTATTAGTGCTTAATACCCGGCCCGAGATAGAAAGTGTAAATGATCTTTAAGCAATAAGGCATGAAAGGCTGTCTAATGTCGTGGATATAGTCAAAGTTAAAAGGCGTCAGCAACCCATTTAACTGTGATTATATCCACGACATAGAACAAGCATCGAGTGCTTTATTACTTTTATAAAACGGTTCCCAACTATGCGATTGCTTTAGAGAATGAAGTTAAATGAAAAAAAAAAATAACACGGAAATTAAGCTGTTTACGTTCCTCAGCCTGTGAAAATTGCTACGCAACACAGAAACACAGCCATAAGTAGCATTAACTAGCAAACATTGGACATTAGCTAGCCAATATGATAAAGGAATAAATGACTTGTTTTTTGTTTATTTCTTTAGCACATTTGAACAGTTCCATTGATCGTACAAGCATTGAAAAACTTTCCGATCCCAAGTTTGTCAGGCATTTTCCTTTTCGCTGCGGGAGTGCTCCCACTGGTGCTGGTCTCGGTGTCTGCCAGGATATCACTCCAGCGCTTTGTCATCAAAATTGAGTTTCCAAACACGCCGTAGCAAACTCTCGTTTTTATGTCCACTATAACGGACACAACCTCCCTTGCTTTTAACCGAGCGTTTGATCATTTCTAAGAATGAAAATTATTTAAACTATGCGACACTATCAGTCAACGAGAGCACAAAAAATCACAAGGATCCTCAACAGTGCAACAAAGACAGCAGAAGACGATACATGTATCAAATACCTGAGAATCCATGCCTTTTATATACGCTAAGAAGTAGTCTTTAAAAGTCTATGAGATTGATTGACTGTTGTTTATTTAACAGTATTTATTAGTCAGCGGATTGAAATTTCTTTATCACACAGTAAAAAAGTCACAATTCCTTCCGGGGCGTGCGTATATCAGAGAATATAGCACGGCTTCGAAAGCGTCAGCCAATCAGATTTCAGGACCGGAAATATCCGTTTTATAATTGCTCTTCTATAATGCCCATAACGTTAAATTGTGAAGTCCGTTGATCTCTTTACATTAACAAATTGTAAAATTACAAAGAACACAACTGTTCATAAAAGTTTTACCTTTACCGTGTTCATGTTTCTAACTACCTATGCCAAGTTTTTTTTTTCCGTTACCTTTTTGGATATCTTTTCTCCTTTGTATTATTCGAAGTTCAATAAAACGTGGGGAAGAAATAGACGATTCTTGATCTTTCTCAGCTCAGTTGCTAACTAACAGAGCAGTGCAGCCCTGCGCCGGCTGGCTGGCATGTCCCCGGCGTTACAGTTGACATTGTGTTGCCTGGACTGTGACTGGGTGTATTGCTGCCAGTCTCACTTTGTCCAAAAAGCCTAGAAACATCCTACACATCTGAGACTCGCTCACCAGGAACCCACACGTTGGAACAGGAGCAAGTGTTCTGCAGCTGTTCCTGCACCAGAGCAGTGTGGGGCAGAATGGACAACACTACCCAACTCCTGGGAGCGGGAGCAGTGCTCAGTTACCAGTGCATCCTGCTGGATGGACAAAGGGACACAGTACTGGCTGTGGCTGCTGGTGTCCCTGATAAAACAAGGACTGTGGAGGGCGAGGAACACTCTCATCCAGCACAACGCAGAGTAGGGAGTGAGGGTCACGGAGGAGAGGAACCTTGTGGACCTCAGAGGGAGGATGAAGCGCGACGTCACCAAGTGGGGTTTCTCCATGACAAACGACCGCTGGAAGGGACCGTGGGCCCTGTACAGGGACTGATGGACAAAAGCAAGTGGCGGGGCTTGGAGGGACTCTTTCATTGCACAAACGTGGCCCCATCATCCATTTGCACGGATTGATAATTGACAATCACCCCGTTTGGAAGGTTGTTATTGCATGTTAGTTTCATACCTTGCTAGAATGTTTACTGATTGTGAGGCTGTTTTCTATTGTGAGATGTTGTTTTGGAAGTAAAGTTTATTTTCATAGAAAAAAAAACACGTTTGAGAGCCAGTTCTAGTGATTTAAAATGAAAGGCATTCGCTTCTCAATGTCCCATTTTATCCGAAGGAGTGTGTGGATGAAAAATCTTGTTGTCAGTACAGAACATTGCTCAACACAGGAAAGTGTACCAGATAACAGGAACAGTTTCTTTATTATATCCTTTGCACTCTATTGTTATAAAAACATTTAAGATGTATACTTTTATATTTAACATTGCCTAGACAAACTAATACATATACACACAAACATACTTCATAATTCTTTTCTTGGACACAGGCAGTGTCCTAATCAGAATATTACACGGTAAAATTCTGTCACTTTTTTTCCCCAGCACTGCTGGTGTTGCTAGGTATTCCCCAGGCTGTGCACACCTGGGTGCCCACATCCAGAACTTCATGGTTGCCGACTATGAAGAGTCTGACCCCTCTCAAGTAGAGAGGAGTCACCTGCAGTCCTCTCTTGGCAGCACATGTGTTACAGGAGCAATGGAACATCTCTTCTCTTTCAAGTACAAACAGGCAAGCCCAAGGGGTGAACACCTTCTTTGAGTCAAGCTGTAATGCAAACAAATAAGACAACATTGCATCATATTTCATGAGCAGTTTGAAGCGTACAGTACTTTCTGTAGTATTTTAATGCATTGGTGTTCTATTTCCATGCATCTACTTACTTTTCAAGCAGCAATTTTTAAGTCCAGTATTTCTTGATTATCCCGTCACTTTTCTCCTGATTTTGCTGGAAAGCAAGAGGAGACGTTAGAACTTCATGCTCTATACAGTAGTTACGACATACTAGAAAAAAATATCACAAATCAGGCCAAGATGTATTTCCTTGGTATTAAGGAGTTTCAAAAGAAAATGTATTGTAACTTTGATTGGACTGGTTTATGTGTCTGTGGTCAATATAATTTAGTCCCTGGCCTGCCTCTGACACCAGCCATAGCATAGATACAGATGCTGGTACATACAGATAGCATGGTACTAAAATTCTTAAATGTGCACACAAACATTTATAATAACATTAGTGAAGATAACAAAAACCAATCAATTTAAAGCTGAATAACCTAGTCCATCCATTTTCACGAGATGAGGCTTTAGGTGAAATTAAACAAATGCAGAATGAACACAAATTGAAAAGACTGGTACTCACACTGAACTGTACGTCTCCTAATGGGAAACCTATTTCTTGTTCGAGAAAGCTGGTGTTAAAGTAGCCTTCAACAGGACACGCATCTTCCTCCTCATCCCCTTCACTGGAAGTGAAGAAGATCTTTATCTTCTCTGGAACCAAGTACTCCAGGAGTATCACGGTGAAGCCAATGAGACAGCACAACAAACCTGCAAAGGGAGCACAAATTGTGTTAGTGTGGCAGTATTGTCACAAAATAATAACAGTCCCAACATGACACAAGGAGAAGCCAATTAACTCCTCTACAAGTTTACCTAGAGCAAAAAAACATTTCGCTGAGAGAGACTGAAAACCTAAGACCTATGTTCTTTCTAGGTTTCCCACATTAACAGGAGATCTAGAGATCATCAACTATTGTTCCAGACAAACAACATATTTTTACAAATGCTCCTTTATATTCTGTAAGACATACTCTTTATGTGTGTAATAATAAAATACTTTAGATTCCTAAAATAAATGTTTGTCTCAGACTCTATGCATTGGACCGATTTCTGTTTACATGTTTACGTATTTAATGTTTTCAAGTGCTATTTTCTGCTAGAACCGTGGATGTTTGTACATTACAGTAGTGTATGTAAAACTGATGTATTGATGCAGACGGTGAAATAAATTGTCGGGCTTCCAAGATAACATTGAACGGTGGCCTCAGGCTTACCTGTTGCTAATGACAACCAGAATGAACCACTGTAGACAGTCTCCAAGGATGCTGTTCCTATGGTGATAGTGCAAAAAGGAACTTTGTGTATGGTGGAGAACGATGCCAAGGCAAAAAAGATGAAAACTCCTGTCGTGATCATCATATAGCCTGCGTACTTTATGACAGGGATGGAAAACAGGATGTTGGAGATCAACCAGCAACAGAATGCCGTCCTGTTGGAAGAAAAACACAAAGATGTTTTGCAATTGTTATTGACAATGAGTCACCTTGTGCTGCAATGACCAAGACCACATAATATTATGCTTAGATAATACCGTATAGTCTGATACAATTAAAAAGAGACATGCCTTTTGCCTGCTGTAACAAAACACAATTTGCATGAGCATGCAAGCAAACTCACAGCTGAGTTACAGCTGGAATTCTGAATGAAGAGATTTCCTTACCCAGACGTTAATCTGGCCAAATGAAAATAGCTAAACTCTTTTCTTTTTTTTAATTTCCATTTTTTGTCCACCTGCATAGAGGGAGACTGGGGAAGGTTCCGGTGTGTTTTTAAAATACACATCTTCCTCTTTATTTCACAGCACAGTATGTAACTGGAGACGTTACATGACGCAGGTCTCAAGCTTAAAAGCCTGGCCAGAGCTCTGCTCTGCGGGGACGGGACTGTGAGTACTGTATTCTTAGAAATCACATCTGACTCGTTCAAGTCTCACCACATGGTCGCTGAGGCGTAGCGTCCGGAGTACTTGTACTGGAAGAAGAAGCCGCAGGGGCTGTCCTGGGTAAACTTCTCTGCGATGTAGAGAATGGGGTTGGGAAGGCCTCTCTCCAGAGCCGCGAGATAGACGCGGTCATAGTCGTCTGTCCAGCTGAACATTTCGTTGTAGTTGATCGTCTCATTTAGCTGTTTCACAGGGTTGCCTTGGGGAAATACGGGCACACATAAGGTTTTCCAGTGAGTAGTTAGGAAGGAAAAACAAAGACTGTTTCTTGATG